ATGAGTGAGTGAAGGACATAGAGAGGCCAGAAGTGTTAATTTAGCTGAAGTTCTCTCTGTAAAGATTCATAAGAAGTGAGGAAAAAATTTCTCATTTAACAGTATACATATAGTAATTTATGATAAAAGTGGAATTTCAAATTAATGGATAATTCAATAAATGTATTAATGTTCTTGGCTAACTTTTGAAAATACAATGAAATCCTACAGTGTTGTAGATTTCATAAAATCAGTTTGTTTTCTATATATATTATACAACAATAAAAAGTCTTTTATAAAAGTATGATATGAGCTCATTTTATTTAAAATATACATATGTATACAAATACATATATGTGTGAATATGGAAAGACATACACCAAAATATTAGCAGTCATTATCTCTGAGTAATGGAAATACAAGTCATTTACCTTTTTTTGTTTATTTGTTTATAGTGATTATGTCTTATTACTCAGCTAAAGAGTAAAATTATTTTTCCGTAAGTGTTATGTAGTCAGTTGCTATACTCTTATAGTCTGAATTAAACTGATAGAAACAACATTTTAACACTTATAAAAACTATTTAGGCATATCTTAAACCCCAAAATGCTCAAAACACAGGTATAGATGGGCATACTTTTTCTGATACTAGTTAAAATAGCTTTCTTTAATAGTATATAACAATACAAAATTGGGAGGCTGCAATCATTAATTATTTATTATTCCATCTTATACATGATATATATGGCATGTGGTTTGAGATTGTCTATTTTTTAGATTAATTTATTCAAATAAACAAATATAACAATGGTGGTGAAGTAAAATTACCAATGTTATTTGTTATCTTCAAAGAAGAAAATTTGAAATCACCCTAACATTTTAGATTGCTTATTTATAAAGTGTATTTATTTATGTAGCAAATATTTTATTAGTGCCATGTAACAATATATTCCTATATGCCCAACTTACTAAACTTTCAGTTAAAGGAAGAAAAGTTTAGGTAATTCAGTGTTCAAAGACATAATTTCTTTCTATGGTCTTTTACTTCATGAACATGGAAATTCTTTCTAATTCAGCAAAATGTACTAGGTATTTATTCTGTGTGACTTTACTAGATAATATTAAATTCAATAAGATAGAAATATTATTATGAAATGTGAGTTAACATTCCTATTAATTGAAACTCTCGTTAAACATTAAAGATCCTTCATTTTACATTATGAAAATAAAGTTCTAACAATGAAGTAGTTGCATTTATTAGATCCAGATGCTGTTTTTATTTTCAAGGAAAGGAATACTTTCTTAAATCACTGTACTTTAACTGAAATAAAGTAAGTTTAGCATGTAAGAATATATTGTTACGTGGTCATTGATAAAATAATTGCTATGTAAGCCATTTATTGTTACATCAGCAATGAAGGGGTAGGAATTTTTTTTTTTTTAATTTGGAGATAAATACATTTATCCGATTTTTGTTTGGAGACCATTGTTATATTGGCTTATTTTCAAGAGAAGATAATAATAATACTGCTCTACAGATTTTTTGAGAACAGAGTCTGTCATTTTCTCAACTTATGTATGATCTTTTCACAAGTATATAGAAAATGTTTCTTGATAAAAATAGAATTAGGTAATTATAAATAAAAAGTTTTGTAGAATATAACATGTTATATGTTAACCATAAGTAAAGTAACATTAAAATCTTGTTATAACATGGTTGTCTGGGTCCAAATCAAGGAAGGCCTGTATTGACAGACTGATTAGATCATGCTGCACCAGCTTGCAGTATAGGTGAGGAAGGTATGGGGATTAGAAAGGAAAATAAAAAGTGAGAATAATTTGGAGCTATCACTAAAACATTAAGGTGTTTGTAGATACTGAAAGTGTGATGGCTAAGGATTTCTTAAGGTTGTTTCATGATATTTTTTTTTCATTTGTATCCACTTCTGCGATTGTTGTAAAACTACTTTTTTTTCTAGACAGTAGATATTCTTATCTTAGATTTTGCCATAATTAGTTATGTATAACCTAAATATTAGAATTTTCTATAAAGTAACTTTTACCTTTCTGCCTCTATTTAGGCATAATGGCTACTACTTGGGATTTGTATGATTCTTATAATGCTCTGGAACTTTCATCTGTACCAGTAAAACAATCTATAATTGATTCAAGTAGTAAAGGAAACGTGCCTTCTAAAGATCGGGACCAAAGAGGGCCAGGAAGTACTACAGACAAAAGTAAAATTTCATTTATTTCATTTTTTTTTTAATGCAGTTTTCACATAACATTTTAAATAAATGTTTTTTTAGCAGTTACAGTATTTTCTTTCAATGGAACATGAAAAATATTTTTGTGTCTATATTCATGAGAGATTTGTTAAGAATTTTTGTGTCTATATTTTTGAAGGATATTGGTCTGTATTTTGTTTTGTACTTTGTCTCGTTTTAGAATACTAACTTCATAAATTGAACTAGAAAGTTTTCCTTCCCTCTCTATTTTCTGGAAGAAAATATGTAGAATTCGTGTTAATTCTTTAAATGTCTGGTAGAATTCTCCAGCAAAATCATCTGTGCCTGGAGATTTTTTTTTGCAAGGGGATAGTTTTTACAATTACAAATTCAATTTCCTTAAATTTTAAAATGTGTTGGATAAGTTGTAGTTTGTATTTTTAGAGTAATTGCTTAATTTTATGTAAGTTGTCAAGTTTATGTATGCAAAGTTGTTTGGCGTATTCCTTTATTATCCTTTTGATATCGACAGGGTTCGTATTATCTCCTGTTTCATTCTTGAATTTGGTATTTAGTGTCTTTTCTCTTTTTGTTTTTGTCTGTTTTACTGGAGCTTTGTTAATTTTATTGATCTTCTCAAAGAACCAGCTGTCCGTTTCACTGATTTTTTTCTAGTTTTCTGTTTCCAATTTCATTGATTTCTCTTCATATCTTTCCTATTTCCTTCCTTCTGATAGCTTTCAGTTTATTTTGCTTTTCATTTTTAGGTTCTTGAATTAGGAGCTTATATTATTGATTTGACACTTTCTCCCTTTTCAAATATACAGTTAGTGCTATAAAATTTTCTCTCAGCACTGTTTTAACTGTCTCCAAAATTTTAATATGTTATGTTTTTATTTTCGTGAAATTAAATATTTTTTTAAGATTTCCCTTAAGACTTCCTCTTTGACACACAGATTATTTAGAGGGTATTTTATAGATTCTAAGTCTTTAAAGTTGTTCTGTTATCTTTTCATCAGTAATTTCGTTTGATTCTATTGTAATTGGAAGGCACACTATGATTTTTCTTTTTTTAAATGTGTTAAGGTTTGTCTTATAGTCCAGAATATGGTCTATCATGATATACATTCCAAGGGCACTTGAACAAAAGATGTATTTGGCTGCCATTGGGTGGAGTGCTATATAAATGTCAAATCAGATGTTTTTGGTTGGTGTGTTCTTGGGTTCTTTAATATCCTGAGTAATTTCTGTCATTATTACAACGAATTTTAGATTTGTCTGTTTCTCCTTTCAGTTCTATAAGTCTTTTAAAATTAAAAAAAATTCTTTTATTCAATTACAATTGACATTCAATATTATCTTAGTTTAAGCTATACAGCATAGTGGTTAGACATTTATATAACTTATGAAGGAATTCTCCCGATAAGTCTAGTATCCACCTGGCACCAGACATAGCTATTATAATATTATTGACTATATTCCCTATGCTGTACTTTACATCCCTATGACAATTTTGTAATTGCCAAATTGTACTTCTTAATCCCTTCACTTTTTACACTCAACTCCCTAACCCCACTCCCATCTGGCAGACACAGTTTATTCTCTGTTAACTATGAATTTGTTTCTGTTCTGATTGTCTTTTTCTGTCTTTTTTTGTCTGACTTATTTCATTTAGCATGATACCCTCTAGATCCATTTATGTTGTTGCATATGATAAGATTTAATTCTTTTCACACACACACACACACACCACACTTTCATTATCTAATCATCATCTACCAATGAACATTTAGGTTGCTTCCATATCTTAGCTATTATATATGAAATGTCTTTCTTTATCTCTTGTTATAGCCTTTGTTTTAAAGTCTATTTTATCTGATATAAGTATTGCTACTCCGGCTTTTTTTTTCACTTCCATTTGCATGAAATATCTTTCTCTGTATTTTACTTTCAGTCTGTGTGTATTTTGATTTGAAGTGGGTCTCTTAAAGACACTATACATGTGGATCTTTTTTCTTACCCATTCAGCCACAGCATGTCTTTTGATTGGAGCATTTAATCCATTTACATTAAAATGATTATTTATAGACGTTTAGTTATTGCCTTATTGTTATTCACATTTATGTTCTTGCCTCTCTCTTTCTTGTTAAAGAAGTCCCTTTAACATATCTTGTAATACTGGTTTGGCGGCAAAGAACTCCTTTAGTTTTTTTTCTTGTATGGAAAGCTTTTTATCTGTCTTTCAATTCTAAATGACAGTTGTACTGGGTTGAGTAGATCTTGATTGTAGATCCTTGCTTTTGAATATTTTGAATATTTTGTGCCAAGACCTTTTGGCCTACAGAATTTCTGTTGAGAAATCAGGGGATAGTCTCTTCTGGGAGCTTCCTTGTAGGTAAATAACTGCTTTTTTCTTGCTACTTTAAAGATCTTCTCTTTTTGTCTTTAACCTTTGGCATTTTAATTATGATGTGTCTTGGTGTGGGACTCTTTGGGTTCATCTTGTTTGGGACTCTCTGAACTTCCTGGCTAATCTACTGTTGATTCTATCTAATTTTGTCTTCATTTCAGTTATTGTATTCATCATTTCTGACTGGTTCTTTTTTATGGTTTCTATCTCTTTGTGTGCGTTCTCACTGATTTAACCTATTCTTCCTCGAAGTTCATTGAGTATTCTTATAACCAATGTTTTGAACTCTAAAGTAATACATTTTCATGTTTTTAATCCACTTAGGTTTTGATAATTTGTTACAGCATTAATAAAAAATTAACACGGTGGTGTAATAGTCCTATAAAGCAATAATCAGATCAGACCTTCATCTAAAGACTGATAATCTTATTTTAATTGAAATAAAAATGTATAGAGATAAAAATTACCTCATGAGGTTATCTTTGCTTATCTTCTGAAAACTACGTTTTTTGAGTGATTAAGAATTTCAAAATGAGGTAATATATGTATATCTTGCATGTGCTTGGTACATAAAGGATATTCAATGAGTATCTATTGTGGTTGTTGAATACTGGAAGAAAACAAATAGTAATAACAAAATGTCATTTTTAAAATATTTAGAATGCATGAATCATGTAATATTATTTGGATTATTTTATCATTACATCATTTTCTGTATTTTACAGATAGTGAAGCTAGTTCTCTAATGGATATAGAAAATGTAATTCTGGCTAAAATGCATGATGATGAAGAAGACCACTCAGATGCAATATTTAAATCTGAAAAGTTTCATCAGGACTTATTTTTTATGGAACGAGTTCTAATGGAAAATATATTTCAGCCAAAACTTGCAGCTTATCGTCAGCTTCCTGTTTTAAAAGGTATTTTTAAAAATAATCACACTTAAACAAGCTCAAATAATTTTTAAAAATTTAATAGCGTTATTAATTATTTTTAAATGTAACATCTACACTAGGTTATCACTTATTAGAAGATATGTTTATGTAGTTTTCAGCACTAAACAAGAGAGTAGCAGTAGAATTTAGGTTAGAGATTCCATAATAAGAGGTAGTCCCTTATATTCAAAACTTCATAAGCATCTGTGGCTCCTTTGTCCCTGCATTAAATTATTCTTATTCAAACTTCCTTTCTATTGCCCATGATACTTTCCAGGTTCTGGCTTTTATTACCTCTTCCTAATTTTATCGCAGGGTCATTTTTCCTGTTTTCATTGCTAATATCCCATCTCATGTGTTCTCAGAATATTTTGAAGGGTTCTAGAGATTATCTAATTCAACCATTCAATATTTTAATGAAGAAAATGAAGGCTTTAGAAACTTTCTAAGGTTACATAGTCTATGACAAAGCTAGGCATCCAACCAAGGTCTTTTGATCCCATTCCAATTCTCTTTCCATTCTGCCATCCTGGGATGTTGATATATCATAAACATAGGTTTGAACGTGGCATTTAATTGCTAAAAAAAAATCGTCAGTACCTTCTCATTGCCTAGGATAAATTACAAACTTCATATGTATTGTACAAAGATATTTGCAGTCTTGCCACAGACTACTTTATCTCACTGTATTACTTCAGAAACCCTAAAACTTAGCTGTATTAGGCTTACAGAACCCCAAACAGAACCTAAACGTTCCTGCCTTATGTACCTTTAATTAGAATATGCTTGACAGTCAGTCCACCCTTGTACCCATCTCATCTTTGCCTATTGTATTCCCAGCTTTCATGTAAGGGCAAACTCCTTTATGAAATCTTTCTTAATCCTTCAGGTCAAAATTGAATTCATGTATGCCTACAGCAAAAAAATTAGGTTACAAAATAACATGTGTAACAAATAGTTGTAAACTTTTTGCGTACATACATCCAAGAACATAGAAACACTATGTTCTTTCTCTCATATTAGGTTGATATTTAAAATTTTTCATCATATATGTAAACTTTCATCCTATATTTAAAGTTATAAGGTTGAAATTTACTTAATACTATGCATTTCGACATTTTAAAAACAAAACTGTTGGTAGATTACTTCTTTAAATATATCTAAGAAATAGAAATATGATACAAAAATTTTTAATGAGGTAAGATTTACATACAATGAAATATAGATATTTTAACTGCAGTTTGAAATATTTTGAAAATATATAAGCCAGTGTAACTAATACCCTAATCAAAATAGAAAATATATCCATCAATCTCATATGTTTCTTTATGTTGTTTTCCAGTTAAACCTTACCCCCCATAGAAGGCACTGACCTGATTTCTCTCACCATAAATGAATTGTTTTAGTATATCATATAAGTGAGTTCATATAGTAAGCATTTTTTTGTATCTGGCTTCTTTCACTCAACATAATTATTTTGAGATTTATCTAGGTTGATGTGTATATAAGTAATTCACCTTTTTTCCTGAGTATTATTCCATTTTATGAATATACTATAATGATTTATATGGTCATTCACTTGTTGATGGATACCTGGAGTGTTTCCAGTTTTGGGCTATTATGAATAAAGTTTCTATAATCATTTTTGCATGTCTTTTTGTGGACATATGTTTTAATTTCTCTTGGGTAAATACCTAGAAATAGAATTATTGGGTTATTTGGTAAATGTATGTTTAACTTTTTTAGAAACTGCAAAATACCTTTCCAAAGTACTTGTACAATCCCACAGGCAATGTTCAAGAGTACCAGTTTCTCCACATTCTTGATAACACCTGATGTAGGTAATCTTTTTAGTGTCCTAAAAACTAATCATGATGAATACTTGTTCATGTGCTTTCATTTTGTTATTTGTATATCTTCTTTTGTGTAATGTTTGGTCAAGTCCTTTGATTATTTTAAAACTGAGTTGTCTTTTAAAAATCAAGTTATAGGAGCTTATTTTATATATTCTGGATACAAGCTTTTGAAAGATACATTGCGGCTATCATTTCTAACTTTATGGCTTGCTAATATATATGTCTTTTGACAAGCAGAAGTTTTAAATTTTGATGAAGTCTTATCTACCAGCTTTTTCTTTTGCAGTTAATGTTGTCCATGTCCTCTCTAAGAAATCTTTGCTTGCCTCAAGGTTGCAAATATCTTTGTCTTGTTCTTGAACTTAGAATGAAAACATTCAATATTTCATTGTTAAATATGATGTTAGAAGTAGTTTTTTTGTAGATGCCTTTTATTGATTTGAAGAAATTTCCTTCTCTTTCTAGTTTCCTAGACAATTTTAAAGATAAATGGATATTAAATTTTGTCAAAACTCTTTCCTACAACTATTAAAATGATCATACATTTTTTTCTCCTTTAGTCTGTCAATGTGGCCAGTTTCATTGCTTGATTTTCAAATGTTAAAACAAATTGAATTCCTCTGGTTATACCTCACTTGGGTACATTGTGTTATCCTTTTTATGTATGGGCGAATTCAATTTTCTAATATTCTGTTGAGAACTTTTGCAACTGGGTCCATGCAGCATATTTTTTTGTAATTTTCTTTCCCTGTAAAGTCCTTGAAAGGTTTTCTTATCAATGTTAGGATAGACATATAAAATAAGTTTTGGAAGTCTTCTCTCATTCTCTATTTTAAAAATATTATATATTATTTTTCTTTGTTTGATAAAATTTACAAGTGAAATCATCTGGAACTGAGTTTTCTTTATGGGGAGTTTTCAAATTACAAATTTATTTTTTTGACAAATATAGGGTTATTCTATTTCTACTTGTGTCAGTTTTGGTAATTTGTGAGAAATTTACCTATCTTGTTTATGTTGAAATTATTTGCATAAAGCTGTTCATAATATCTTCTCCTTAAATTCCATCTCTTAATATCTGTAGGATTTAGAGTGATATCTTCTATTTCATTCTCAATATTGGTCATTTGTGAATTTTCTCTTCTTTTTTATTAGTCTAGTTGGGCCTTTTTCAATTGCATTAACCTTCAAAAAACATTACCTGGCCTTGACTTTCTCAGTTTTTTGTTTGCTTTTTAAAACACTTCAGTTATTTCCATTTTTACATTTGTGTTTTTCTTCTACATTGTGTTTATTTTTTATGCTTAAGATGTTTATTTATTTTAAAAAATTTAAATTTATTTATTTATTAATTATTATTATTTTTTTTTATGGTGACGAAATCCAGAAGTTTCAACTGTATACTTTAACAGTAAGGTATATATATATTTACACTGTGTGTTCACCTCCCATAGTTAGATTTGTTTCTGCCATATTTAACCTCCTTTACCCTGTCTACCTAGCCCCTTTTTCCTCCTCCTGCCCTCTGGTTACCACGAGTCTATTGTCCATGTCCATGAGTCTCTGTTTGTTTGTCCTGTTCCTTTGTTGCATTTAGGTTTATATCCCACATATAAGTGATATCGTGATTTTCAGCTTTTTCTGTCTGGCTTATTTTGCTTAGTATGATTATTTCAAGGTCCATCCATGTTGTTGCAAATTTTAGTATTTCATCTCTTCTTATGGCTGAGTAATATTCCATTGTATATATGTACCACAGCTTCTTTAGCCAATCGTCTCTCGTATGCCGTCTTCTGCTTGAAAAAAGATGCTATGAACATCGGTGTGCAAATATCTTTTTGGATATGAGTTTTCAAGTCTTTGGGGTAAATACCCAGTAGAGGGATTGCTGGATCATATGATAGATCAATTCTTAGTTTTTAGAGGAACCTCTATACTGTTTTCCACAGCGGGTGTACCAATTTTAGTCCCATTAGCTTCTTAAGATAGAAAGTTGGATCACTGATTTCACATCTTTTTTTTTGTCTAATACAGGCATTTAATACCATAAATTTATCTATAAATTTATGCTATTATATATTTATCTATAAATACTGTCTTAGCTGCATCCCGCATATTTTGATATCCTTTGTGTTTAATATTATTCTGTTAATAATAATTTCCTATGTGGGTTTTTCTTTGGCCCATAGTTTAGTTAGAAGTGTGTTGTTTAATTTCTAAGTTTTGAGTAATTTTTTAGCTATCTCTTTTTTATTAAATTCTAATTTAACACTGGTGTGGTGGTCAGAGGATATATTGTATATGATTTCTATCCTTTGAAATTTATTGAGATTTTTTATGGCCCAGCATATGGTGAATGTTCTATACTCAAGAAGATTGTGTATTCTGTTATTATTTGATGTGGTATTCTTTAAATGTTAATTATGTCAAATTGGTTAATAGTATTTTTCAAATTTTTTATTTTTATTGAGTTTTTCTTGATCCAGTCTATCATTAATGCGAGAGTAATGTTAAAATCTCTAATTATGATTATTGATTTGTTTATACTTTCCTTTAGGTTTATTAATTTTGCTCTGTATATTTGAGAGCTTTATTTATCAGGTACATTTAAACTTAAAATTGTTCTGTCTATGGATGCTACCCCTTTTTAAAATCATTATTTATACTTTTATCATTAGGAAATGACTAAATTTATTCTGGTAATATTCTTTGTCTTGAATTTTAATTTGTATTATATTAATATAGCCACACTAGCTTTCTTATTGCTATTATTTGTGTGGTAGATATTGTTCCTTTTACTTATAACATTTTTATTTTGTTTAATGTGTATCTGTTGTAAACAATGTATATTTTGTCTTTATTTTTTTACTCAGTCTAGCAATCTCTACTTTTTTGAACTTTTATCTCTGCCTTCTCAACTTAGCTAAATTACTGTATTTTGCTCCACTCACTTCCTGGCACTGTGGTCAAATAATTGTACTAGGCTGAAAGTGAGGTTAACCATGGTGTTCACAGTTGTGCAATGCTTATTGTTTAATGCCTGAAAACAGTTACCTCATGTTTCAATTCCAGTTTTATATTTATTTATGGTAGAAGGGCAAGTCTAATACAATTAATCCATAATGACTG